TCGCCTGTAAGGGGTAAAGATATTGTTAGTGATGGGATGTGGCTCCTTTGCCAGCAATATACCCTGTCAGGTCGACCTCCTACTGGAAACCACTTTGATTAGTTCTTGAGGAATTATCGCGATGGGCTTATTGATTTACACATCTTCACCAATAATCCTTCATTGCTGGCACACTAGTATATATCGATAGCACTGGTGAAATTTCTATTCCATTATCACTTATTAAAAATAGAACCGCTTGTATACGTTGGCGAAAAAAGAGGCTGTTGGTGTGAGAGCGGATTCTTAGTAATGGGAATTCCAATACTAAGAATCCACTCTTCTGCTTTTTAAGATATAAAAATGCAATAATGAACACGCCTGTGCTATTAATATACTTAAAGTACCAGTATGCGATGATATGTGAGGAAAAAATTATGAAAGTGGACCCATCGTATTAAATTTATCAAAAATTAATCATAATTATTTTCAGAAAAGTGATCACAGTTGAGGGCCGTGTGAAGGTCAACTTGACAATAATAAATAAAGTCTAGCTAGAATCTACTATTAACACCCCACCCCCCGACCCACTGTATAGTACCTGCCCAATTTCACTTATCTATGATACTCAATTTTCTTAATCTCTATACAATATAAGAAAGATCCAGATAAATAATAGGCATTACACGAGTTTTTGCCAAAAATACGTAAAAAGGTTTATTTTGTCTAAAAATTGAGAACGTAATTGATTGATGAAGTCGCAATCTGACCTGACTCGCCCTTCTTTATAAGAAAAGAACACTCCCCTCCTTGATACTAAATCAAATTAAGTGTAGGTACGAATTGATAAATTGTAGGAATAAATGAAACAATAATGGTAGCTAATTATACCTATACAAGTATCTATCGAAACGATTATTAAAATTAAATTAAATTTTAATTAAAATATAAACAATGTTCCACTTGAAGAAAAAAAAAAACTACAATTGAGTTTAAAAAATATTCGTATTCTAAGTGAGATATGTATTTTACAACTTTAATCAGCGTTTCTCAAATTTATAGTTCCACGTATTCTTATTAGGCTTTTTAGACTGCGGTAAATCCTTTAAAAAAACTTATTATGGATAGAATAAATATTCGGTATATTCTCGGGGAAATTTTGCTTAATTTATATTTTAATACAAATTTAGCGTTCAGTTCATTCCTGTATTTCGTCTTTATCTTGAACGAATGTAAAGCCACAGTCACATAAGTAAATTGTCATGAAAGGCAAAGGGAATTTCACCGCTTTACGTGAAAGCTTCGGATATTCTTTTTGTCTGGCTAACCACAAATCAATTTAAGATACATATCTTTTTAAAATTAGCTTGAAGAGTTTGATCTGTGGACATTTCTGTCAGTTCATTTACGTGTCCGTCTTCCTTATTATTGTGTGAGAATTAGCTAAGTTATCGCCAAACCGTAAATTTTGTTTGGTACCCTTTGCGTTTAACTGGTATACCCTAAATAGTACATGTATCCCACTTTGATAAACTCTGATCTAAATTTTTTATTAGACAGTTTTTGGACGTAATTATATTGTGTTATAGGCAATATAAAGGTAAAAATATAGTGAGCGATATAGTATATTATACTAAGTCTACATACGTCAGTTTATAACCGTTCTACTCGTAAATATCTTATAAAAATATAGGTACATAAACTCAAAATCTTGTGTACCTAATTTCCGTTAGTTTTTTTGAGTTAGAATTTAAAGTTCTAAAGTTAGAATAACAATTTGATATAATTATATGATAATAATCATGTCAAATTGTTATTACTATTTTATATATATAAAAAAAATTATCAATATTAGTGAAAGTACAACACGATAATTAAAAAAAAATCTTTTGCAATAATTCAAATATATTTTTATACACTTTAAGGTAGCAAACTAATATTAGACTACATATTAAACATAGGGGTAAAACTAATAGGTATTTTCTCTACTCTCTTGAAGTTGATTGATCGAGTCTCCCGCATTATTAAGTAAAGATATACTATTTTATATATACGAATTTTATCAGGAAAGTAAACGTTTACGGTATATGTACATATTACTTAAAGTATAAAATGTAACAAATAAGTAGTGTTAGGTATATATATATATATATATATATATATATATATATATATATATATATATATATATATATATATATATATAGTCTTATATTTATATATATTAAGAGATTGCGATAAGACTGCCTTTTGTATCACTTCTCATTAATATTTACTGTATTTATTTTTTTACTTGGTGCATTAATAAATAAAGTGTAAAATTAGAAATGAATTGAAGTCAGTCTGATTATTTAAGTATACCATATTTTTAATAATAATTAACCATTTGCAAGTCATACCTGATTTTTAAAACCGTGACATGGCGCATTTTTCTAATTTATAAGCATATGTGTCACATTAATTTCAAACCAAAATAGGTAAAATTAGTTTCAACTATCGTAAATAACTGGAGATTGGTAGGTAATTTAACACTGGAGCAGTGGCTAACGAATGGATTGTGAGAGAACAAGAGCTCTGATTATGGGGCCCCTGCTTCACAATCCTGATCCAAATGTACGAGACTCGCATGCTAAATACATACGGAACTAATGTCAGATCGATACGTTATAATTTTGCTGTGCAAAAATTAGCTAGTTAAATCTTAATAAAATTAACATAATACTACAATGGAAGGAAATTGTTTGATTATCGTCACCTGTGACCATATTACCAGCTATCAATAATTATAGGGTCAGGTTGACCTTCACGTGGACATCTTTGGAAATCAATGTGTTTCATTGCAGGCGGATACATCATGATGAGTGGACTAATCTAATCAGGTTTATCATTCTAAGTTGATACTAAATTTTCATTTTTGTTTTTATAATTAAGACTTATTAATTATAAAATAATATATATAAATATAGTCCAATATGGCCCGGCCCACCCCTTCCTTTTCCTTGAGTGTGGTAAAAATAATGATTATTAATATTTAATTATAGCTATTTATAGATAAAATGAATGGTAAGTATACTTTTAACGTATATACTCGTGTAGAGATACCTAACTTATCTAGTCAGGGGGGAAAGGGATTGTTAGTAATGGGGTAAATAGCCCCATTACTAGCAATATATCTTGTCAGGTCGACCTCCACGTGGTTCCCCCTGGAAACCGTCGTGAACAATTCTTGTTGAATTCGTCGCGATGGGCTAACTGGCCTGCTTCATCCTCACCTATCATCCTTCACTGGTGCCCCGCCGGTGTATACCGATAGCGCGGGTGGGGTTACCATTCCATTATCATCCATTAAAAAAAACCTATCTAGTCAGGGGGAAAGGGATTGTTAGCAATGTGTTCCAATAACCCCATTGCTAGCAATATACCCTATCGGATTGACCTCTTCGCTGTTCCCCCTGGAAACATCGTGGTTAATTCTTATTGAACTCTTCACGATAGACCAACTGACCTGCCTTCAGCCTCACCAATCATCTATCACTGGGGCCTCACCAGCCTTTACCGACAACGCAAGCGAGGATACCATTCCATTTGCATCCATTAAAAAACCTACCTAGTCAAATTAATTACTGTAATTGCGCGCATTCAATTAATTGAAATACTTTTATTTAACTCACTGAACTTATCTATCCAACGAATTTGACCTAAATTCATTTGAAAAGGGTGCAAATTATTTATTTGCCATTAAATTAATTAGTACGCTAATCACGTTGCTTTGGGTAATTCAGATAGGTATTTTTCGTATCATTCAAATTTATAATCAAATTCACAGAGTTATGTAATTTATTCAACATTATTAATAATTCTGTTTTACATAACTCTGGTACATATTTGTTAGTAACAATAGACGAAACTTTTTTAATAAAACAAAACAAATCGTTTTATGGGCCACATAATAATTTTGACCCACCCAATAATCTTCAAATACATTCGTGGGGGAGTGAACTCCCCATTAAACATATTTTTGAATAAATTTTTACGGATTTTACTTTTTTATTACACCACTGAGGTGGCAAACAAGCATACGGCCCACCTGATGGTAAGCGGTTACCGTAGCCTATAAATGCCTGCAATACCAGAGGTATTACGCGCGCGTTGCCGACCTGAAGAAACCTTTTACCCCTTTTTGAAGAACCCCATGCTGTAGTCTCTTGGGAAAACCTTGGCAGGAAGCCGACTATAAGGTAAATGTTCAAATTTATAAAAATATTTCTTCTATGTATTCTCAGGGTTACTCGAGGCGTCATAAAGAGTAAGTGTATCAAGGTTTAACAGATACGAGGCGTTAGAAATGTGGGCGGTTATTTAGTTAGTATACTTACTAACAGTAACTTTGCTGGGGGGAAAGGGATTGTTAGTGACGGAGTCTAACAGCCCCAAAACTACCAGTATACCTTAACAGTTCGAAACCATCGTGGTTAATTATTGATGATCCGTTACGATGGACGAACAGACCTCCTTTCATCCTCACCTCTCACTGGTGCCTCATCAGCCAACAGCCATAGCACTAGCACAGACGGAGCATCTTCACCCATTAAAAAAATAATAATATGGCCGTGTCCTGAATTTTCACTGTCATGTCTCACCTTCAAACTAAAATACAGCATAAAATAAGCACAGCTGCTTTGCGACAACACGAGAGGGAGCGAAGCATGCCTCTGTCTTTATCGTGTTTCAGCATATGACTTTTCTACTGTAATGATTTTTTTTTTAATATATATTACACTGATTTCATTCGTACTTTTAAATACGTACAATCTCACTGTGCATTTTTTTATACCACTTAAGTGGCAGACAAACATACGGCCCACCTAATGGTAAGCAGTTACCGCTACATAGGCTAATATGAACACCAGCAATAGCAGGGGAATTATGCGCGCGTTGCCGACCCTGAACAACCCCTTTTTTAGTTTAAATAAATTTTTAATAAATACAAACCCAAGTATGGGAAAATAACACGAGACATATATTTTCATATTTGTATATTCTTGTATTGTAAAATTATGCAAGTATTTACACAAATTATAGAAATAAAAACCTAAAAATCCATCACATAGTCTCCTAGCTAATTATCTCTAATATTGATTTCTAAACAGTATCTACTTATCCAATTACATATTTGTTCATATAAAATAAATTAATTTTTTACAATAATTCAGAACAATGTTGTAATATAAATATAAATAAGGTGCATGTACCAATTATGGATACACCAACATGGTTTTTTTTAATAAAATTCTTAAGTGTATCTACTAAACATGAGTATTTAATCATTATAATTTCAAGTAGATAGAACTGGAACAGATAGTCTAAGATCCAGCTGCTGATTTCTGCAGGTATAAAACTTTTTAATGACAATTGATACAAATGAAAGACGGGCTAAAATATAATACACCACACCCGACACTGCATTAATACATCCCAGTTGCCTACCTTGAATTAAGAGAATCTTTGAATTGTCAGGAGACAACTCTTCCTTGCAGTACTTTTTTACAGGCGACCCTATATATATTGATCTTAGGCTATGATAAACATCTCATGGTGGATCTGTGGTGATTTATATATTTCTACTACTTAATTTGTTCTAAAGTTATCCCTTCTAAAAGAATGTCAAATGCATAATAAATTTACAAAAACAAAAATTCTCAAAGTCAAATAAATTTATTCAAATTATTACGTAAGCCCTTTTTGTATAGATTTAGTTTAATATTTAAGTCAGTTATAAAAATTAATAAATAGTATAGTGTTTGAATAGCATAACGTCCTTTTATCCAAATAATAATACATAAATTGTGGTTTTTGTGTTATTTATATATTATTGCATTTGTATCATTTTTAGTTCTATAACAGCTGATAAGTGCGACATCCTGTTTTAAAATGCCCGAGTCTATTTCGATAATAGACCTATACTATAATTTTTATCCATTTCATAACCTCATAGCATGGCAACCAGGTTTGGTCATAAAATTTTACATTTAAGAAAAAAAAAAATATGTAAACCAATGGAAGAGTACAAGGGCTCTCATTTATAAAAACGAAATTAAAACTCCATCAAGCGCCAACAATCACAGCAACAACATCTTATACAAACAAAATATATTGAAAATAATTTACTATTGATATAATATGTATAATACAATTATTCACTTATGTCATACATTTATCATTAATTTAAACTTACAAGAAATTTACTAAAGGAAGAATTTGTACAAGTCATATTTTGATAAGTACAAAAATATTTTAATAACTAAAAGTAAAAATATTTAGACCGCTACAAATATTTCAGTATTTAGAATCTGCTAAAGGAATCGTTGACCTCAAATAATTACATTATTATATAACTGCAAGATATAAAATATATGGAATCTTTTATACCTTTGTCAGCACTGAGTACACCTTTGATCGATTATTTATATTCCAGGTCCCATACGAAGTAGATAGACGGAAACACACAATGTCTTTATCCTTTACAAATCTTTTATTTTATACACTCTCATTATTCATCTCATTCGTTCATGCCAATTCCTAAGACTGTTTCACCTTTCAAGAAAAATAATATAGAAAACCCAGTGTCAAAATGAAGTTTGAAGTATCTCAAACAGTCACACTTTAAAGATGGTTATTTTATGGTCACAGTCACCGTACAGTATGTCTTAAAATTTAAAATAACATGAGAATTATTTGAAATATAGAACAATTTAAATAAATAGTGTAATTCATTGGTGCAAAAATGTAATTTTTTACATATTGTGTTAAATGTATATGCACATGTTCTAAAGACAAATTTTAAAGTAAAATGTTTTTTTTTTAAGTTGTAATTAATATCTATATAATACGTAAATTATTGCTCAAATTTTACCTTTACAAGTACAAGAAATGAACATTTAAGGTAAATAAATTATATGAGGCAAAAAGAATATTAAAATTAGTGTGATTAATTGATACAAAAATGTTATTTTTTATGTGTTATATTGTGTTAAATGACATATGTTCTTAAGTCTAACGTTAAAAGTTTTTTTTTTTGGTTGTAACGAATTTCTTTATAATACATTAATTATTGCTCAAATTTTACCTTTACAAGTACAAGAAATGAACATTAAAGTAAATAAATTGTATAAGACATAAAAGCTAAATTAAAAAGCACAATTGTGAAATCTCATGTTTTCAACAGTTATCAATATTTGACTTTGTTTCAATTGTATTAAATGGTACTGTTCATGTCTATCTATAGACGACGGTTACCATTTTTAATCAGGGTCGCCAGCTTATTTGCTATTCTAAGTCGCTTAAAAATACTGTTAGATTCACACAAGATATATATACTATGATAATCATAATTGTTTACAGATAGACAAAGGAATATTTCTAATTATAATTGTAAATTATGCTTTTTATAGTAGGTGTAATATTCATAACCTAGTTAACGTAGCTTGAAAATTATTGTATCAGGGTTTAAGAAACCATTTTGTGCCAACAAAATAATAGCAATTTTAAGAAAATATGAGTTATATTGACATACGTTTTGGATTTGCTTTTTTTTTATACATACTGTACATTGACTGAGCCCAGACTCCAGATAATTAAAATTCAACATCTTTATTTCATTCATAGATAGCAATGAGAAGAGGTTATAATACTTTTTTAAACACTTCTGGTGTTGTTAATGTAATATGAGGTAATCTTTTATACAATTAAGTAATTACTTTCCTCTTTAAGACCCATAATAATAATAATACTCACAGTTAAACGTCTTTACTAAAACAGCAGAAATACTCATGCACACGCTTACATTCTATAGTGGCTTATATATATATATTAATGTTTTTAGTATTTGTGTGCGCTTTGTAACAAATAAATTGTTATCTATGTAGACGTTTAATTCTTGCATTCCTTGTTTAGTATTCTGCGGAAATATATTTGTCCTTGTCAGACCTTGGATGTTTAGTATGAAATGACAAATTCAACATTTTTGTTTAAATTAAACTGATCTATTGGCAAATTACCACGCGACTGTCTAATTTATTTGCTGTACTTTTATTATATACCCGTTTGTAGCTTTGACTGGTTTTATAGAAGTTTTAAATGACTCAAGATCATATTTATCAACATCATTTTTATACGATTTTTCTACTATGAACTTCATAAGATTCAGTCTGTCATTACAATTTTTTTTTATTTCTACCATATTTAAGGTGTAATGTTTTGTAAGCCTTAGAGCTGTGTAACTCACACACACAACACAAATGGAGTATTACTCGGATCTGTTATTTCTGAGTAGACCCCCGATCCACTTTGTGACATTGTTTAGATTTGAGGGTGATTCTATATTAAGAAAACGAGATTAAATACATTTAAAAATCGAAGGTTTTTAAACAAAATTAATTTAATCCTTTGTCTAGATATTTCATTCCTTAGGGTTAAGATCTTAAGATTGACAATGAACTGTATTAAAATAGATCAAAGAAAACATGGAAAGATGAATTGGGTAAATATTGAAAAGACTACTGAACTAGCGGAACTTGCGTGTTTGTTGATCTGTCAGTCAGTTTTCCTTTTGGACAGACGATTTGCATAAAAGATTGAAAGCAATGGGTGAACGATTGTCTGACTGTGAAATAACTACAAATGGAATATTGGTTTGGAATATTATTAAATATTGAGTATATCATTTTAGTAATACAATTACAATTAAAAAGTCACTTTACGTGAACAGTATTATGACCGATTTTAAATTAAATGAAATTATTGCCAATGCCAATGAAATAACTACTGCGTTAATATTACGCCTCTAAAGCATAATATCTACTAAACTCTATACATATATGAAAGGAATTATAATAGGATTCGTGTAACCTATTTTGTTACACGACTCCTAAATCGAAATTTTGTACCTATTTTAAGTCCTCGTTCCATTGAATATTATGTTACATAGATTGGCTTAGAAAATATTGTAAAGCAAGTTCATTGTTCATTTAAATTATTAATACCACTAGATGACGTTGTAAACTAATTAAAACAGAAGGAATTCAAATATGGCCATAGACTGACTATACTAATAGAAAAAAGTAATTTAAACTTTATCATTCAAATGTAACTTAAACTTAAAAAATTAAAATAATAAAGTCCATTTTAGATTGCGAAAGAAAACATATTAATTTAAAATAAGACCTCGATGCAATTGAGACCATATTCGCTCAATCGTTTCTGAAATTTTATCGACATCTAGAAATATAGATGGAAATTCTCACATAATTTTTACTAAATAATATTTATTATTATTAATATTACCTTTCAGGTGAAAAGAGGTCATTGGCACCCCGTTCTCTTTGCTACATTATAAAGAATAGAATAAAGATAACCTATAGCCACCACCTATAACATAAACTTAGATTACGTAGATACAGCAACGAACCTCAAAAACGGGTCGACTTTTTATCAGCTATTATCAAATTTGCTACCTCGTTTTTTTATCAGTGTTCTATATATATATACGCATATAATGTATCTTGACATATTATTTAATAAATAAACTGAATGTTTACGAATTAAAAAGATGCAAAAACTATAAGACAAAATAAATATAGAAGTTATAAAGGAATCACTAATAACTATTTATCACGCAAAGTTGTATGAAAAAGTTGACTCGTTTTTCTCGAAGCATATCTACGGAGACACTCTATCTATATAATCTAAGAACATAAACTATAAACATATGAATGTATAAAATTTAATAAAACATAATTTACTAATTATTTCACTACTTACGTGTATGATTGCTAATAATTGCATTCTAATAACACATTCAATAAATAAAACAATTTATAATTAGGTATTATGTTCCATGAGAGACTAGTATATATATAATCTGAAGATTGTTACATTTGTTCGCTGCTGACTTTAATTGTTCTATTCTAGTTTTTTTATAAACTCAACTTACAAAATTAATTTACAATTGTATCATATTTGATTAGTAATACTGAAGTTAATGGAACAAATTATTCTAGAACTTACATTTGTGATACAGGAATGGAAAAATAGTATAAGTAATAAAAATCCTACATTCAGCTATAGTACGTATTCATGAAACAGTACAAGTTCTGACAAAAGACAATGGCCGAAATATTTAAATTAAAAATTTTAATAATACAATACAGTAGTAAATTTAAGGCAGTTCAGAAATATTCAAACAGAATTCTGCTATGTATTTTAAATTTTAAAACAAAGGAAAAATACTAAGATTACTGCAGTTGTCACTTCCATGAATTTTTCAAATCTATAACATTAATATTACAAAACAATATCTTTACTAAGTTTCTTAATAGTTAACGATACATTTTTCTATGGCTGCATTGTGAAATCAAATTTCATCTTATCATGACACTCTAATTTTATTATTAAGTTTATATAGAATTATAAATAATAAAACTATTATGAGCAAATTCATGTGACCTTTGAATATTTTATTTCCACAATACGTTTCATGATACTTTGCTATTAATCGCCATATTAAATTATATTTCTAAACCTTTTTTCACTGGACTACTTACAACCTAACATATATATTTAAGTCGCATTAATACCTTTCTTAAATAGATATTTAACTATTACAAAAGTGTGTCAAACACTAGTATCGTAACCCTGTCTTGCTTGTATAATATATTCGATTATTATTCACTTATATCGATCGATAAGTAAGTTAGTCGAATAGTGTCGACTATCTCAAGTATTTTGAGATGCGATTTTAGGTTACGTACGTTGAGGTAACATTGCCCTATGATGTCTGGGCGATGCCTCCTATTATTATAGACCAAATAACTCGACCAAATTAAATTCACACTTCAATATGACTGTCGGGAGGTATTGGATGTTTCAGCTTACTCGGGCTGATGATGGAAGGTTTTTGTGTACGCGTGTGCCATACCAAGACTTTCGTGCAGTTTTCGGCGAGCGGCTCCAAGTCTTCAGTTTTTGTGAAGTATTTGAGAATCTCACTTTCCTGGAAATTGATAAAATATTCAAATTCTAGTTTCAAACTGCAACTTCGTATGCGTGGATTTTAAAAGTGGCCAACCAGTTATAGGTATCGGGATAAAACATACATTACATTTTCAGTTAGACCTTCAGCAACACACTTGTGAAAACCGAATATAATTTGGTACAGTAGTTTTTGTGTGATGCCGAAATAAACATACAGACAAATAAATACACATTCTAAAAAATATTATTTGTCACCTACTATCTTATTAAGACCCCTTATATTATTTTTTCTTAAATATCTATCATTTGGTCTTGGCACAGAAGGAACACGCCTACCTTTCCCGTGGGAATCGTAAGAGTTGATTAAGGGAACTTAACTGTCGAGGGACGGGCAGTAGCGTCTCTCTTATTCTTAAAACATCACCAAAATCCTAACTGCGGTTGACAAGCATAACGACTACTGGCAGCCTTCCCCCCCCCCCCCCCCACGCGCCTCTTATATTGGAGACCTGTGTTTAGCATTGGACACTCAACGATTGATATGATGACGATGATCCCATGTACAGTCATCATCTAATCACAATTTTATTATATTAGTAAGATAATATCACGAACATTTAGAGATTAATTACCAGATAACAATTACCATAATTTTACCAGAAGGAGACTTTGTACAAAAGTCGTTTGCTTGGGCACCTCTGTCCAATTAGTTTTTTTACCGTGAAGCAGTTGTGTTTGGATGGCTGTGTTTCGGTTTGAAGGAAATACACAGAGGAATAAGACCCGCGTCCTCAGGAATGGCAACAAACAGTATACTCTGTTATGTCCATGGTACTGCTCACGTCTATAGGCGACTGTTAGCACTTTCCACCAGCTTGTTTGCCATTCAAGTTGTATAAAAAAAAAATAATAATAAATAAACATTGGGTGAATCTTTCATTACATATTAATTATGACTCTATATATACATATAACGCCGCCAGGATGCGATAAGTAGCACCCGTTACAAGTAGCATATGTAAGTGAAAGCAAGATAACGTTATCAGAAGACCCTCATACCTATACAATCAGTATGCGTACTATTCAGTTACGTTCGGTTCAATTTGTAGATAATAGCTGATCCATGCTGCGGTTAGTAATTTGAAAATAGTTAACACTGCTCAATGCCCTTGGGTTATATTTCCATGTAGGTCAGTAATTAAGTCTAGTTTTTTGATCCAAATAGGGTTATATAATATTTGTTCAATTTTCTACAAGATTTTATACAGTCCTCTGCGTGGGTGCCATTGACATATGACTGCCGTCAAACAGCTGTACTTTCATGTCGATGGTAATGAAATTACAGAGTACATAAATAGTCCAGCAATGAAGCTGGCACAGGATACAGACGCTCTAGTTTTTGTCATTTTTTTAACCTATTCTTTAAAAAAAAAAAGATTGGTCTCTGGTTTTACACACATTTCAGTAGAGAAATGTTTATTATTTCAATTTGTATATAATATAAATATATAAATATAATAAAAATAAACTTTCCCTACGATCTCTACAGTAGTTTCTAAGAATAGTCTATACAAATTTAGAAGAAATGTAAACTTTAAAACTTACGCATTGCACGGTTTTAAGAGGCGTTAATTTACACCATAATTTAAATATCATTTAATCGTTTACGTTACTATTATTTGCACCGGAATTAGCAGAGTTTGATCACTGTTAGTAAAACCTGGTTAAAACATCGAGATAAGCTCATGTTAACTATTACCCCATTATTATTTTACCTTTGAAAATCATAAACAGGAAATATGGTGGGGAATGTTTCAAACTACGTATTGATAAGGTTATCAAAATTATTATAAATTAAAGTAGGTATTTTAAAAGAGAGAAGCAGTGGGAATTGCTAGTCGTAATCAACTTGATTTCCATACCGTCCTAGACCTAGACAAAGTACAAGTGAATTTATCAATATGGTCAGCAATCTCGTGAGAAAGGATCAGATAACGCACGTCGACACCTCATTCTGTCTCATAGATTCATTAGCGATAACGATTCTATCAATAGTTTCTGATTAGAGGCTATAATCTTCCTAACTGAATTCGTCACGTTGAACTAAAATGACCTGATACGAGATCAGGTCAACTATCATCTATCAGAGGTACCCATCTAGAGTAAATCATTAGTATAGGCATTATTGTATTTATTATTATTATATCTGCCATTTACTGTCCATTGCTGCTGGGCATAGGTTTCTCCCATAAGGGAAGTGTTACCAATAGTTGTCACGCTTGACAAGTGGGTTGGCAACCACAGTCACGTTTTGGTGATATTTTAAAAGGGATGTTGCTGCCCATCCCTCGAAAGGATTCTATTCCGGAGTCACACGAAAATGTAGGACCCAGTATAGACATTATTATCCCATTTTTATTTATCTTTATAAACTAGCCGCTTAAGTTGAAATTTTCAAAAATCGTCTTTTAGCAGATACTTATAAAATAAACCTATGTCCGAATTTTTAGCTTTCTATATTCAATAGTTTTGGCAGTGTGTCAATAATTAATAAGAATGAATGATTTTATAAGTACAGATTAATTCACCTGAAATCCAGACTGCACTTTTCTGGAAAACATAGCATTTGGATGTTCCAGGAAGAGAGTGGCATTTATGGCGAAACCGGCCATGTCTATTGGGAATGGTCTGAATGGCTTCCAAACGGCGTTATATCCGGACACCTTACCATCCTTAACTAGAGGCATCTCGACTCGCATACCACCCACTATACCAACTGGCCATACACCCACTTTGTTGATTTTTCTCATCTGTAAAAGCCAAGTATTATAAATCAATAATAATGAACAAATAAATCGATTAAACATCTCATTTATGTAAATAGTTTAACGCAGTGTTTTCCAAAGTGTGGGTCGTGAGCCCCTGGTGGTCTCCAAGGCTCTACAAAAGGGCTGTGTCGCGAAACTCACGAAGTCGTAAAAATACCACAGTTTCGCAACGTTATCCTTGTTACGACCTCCACGCGGTTTCCCCTGGAAACTGTCGTGACTAATTTATCGTTGAATTCGTTTCGATGGACTAACTGACCTGCTATTTTATCCTCACATATTATCACTGGTGCCCCAGCGGGCAGGGTTACCTTTTAAAGTAATCCTTGTCTCTCTTGGTATTTATTTAATGTTATTTAACCAATCCCTATGAAAATAAATAAATATGTACGGATTTGATATTTGAAATATAATAAAATACGCCAGCGTATACCGTTAGCGCAGCCGGGGTTACCATTCCATTAATCATGCATTAAAAAAATATATAATAAATTTTTTGAAAAAACACTAATTTAATGTATATTATTTAAATATATTAAGATTTTATACAAAACTCATGTGCGTCTTTATTCCGATTGCGTTTCTGTCACCATATTAAATTGTTTTTATGGTTGTCAAATTAAAAGTATATTATTATTATTATTATAACACCGTTAACTGTCTACTACTGAACTAGGCAATAGGGAATAGACTAGGAAATAGGCCTTCCCGGAATTGGGAATTTTGCTAGTAGTTGACAAGCTTGGCATGCGGATTGGCTACCACAGTTCGTTTTGGTGATGTTTTAAGAGGGACGCTGCTGCCCATCACACGACCATTAAGTTCTCTTAGTCACCTCTTACGACACTCACGGGAAAGGAAGAAGTGGTCCATTATATGTCAGGACCACACCACATAGAATGGACAAAATACGGTATAGTATATATACTAAATAAAATTTTAATCAGAGGGAGACTTTGTACAAAAGTCGTTTGTTTGAGCACCTCTGTTCCATTCGTGTTTCAGCCTTGAAGCAGTTGTGTTTGCATGGATGTATTTCGGTTTGAAGAGTGGGATATGACAGTGAATTTAGAGTACAGAGGAATAACACCTGAGTCTTAAGGAATGGTAACACATAGGGGTTTTTTTTTATTGGGTGATAATGGAATGGTAACCCCACCCGCGTTAACGGTATACACCGGCGTGGCACCAGTGAAGGATGATAGGTGAGGATGAAGCAGTTCAGTTAGCCCATCGTGACGAATTCAATAATTGTTCACAATGGTTTCCAGGAGGAGCCACGTGGAGGTCGACCTAATAGTGCAAATTGCTAACAATGGGGCTGTCAAACTCCATTGCTAACAATCCCTTTCCCCCCAATACATAGGGGGTATAATGGGCGAAACAGTATATTCTGTTATGTCCATGGTACTGCTCATGTCTATAAGCAACGGTTACCAATTTCCATCAGGTGGGCCGTCAACGTGTTTGCCATTCTAAGTTGTATAAAAAAAAACTTCTAAAACATATACGTACAAAATGGGGGACAAAAAGTTAGTCACTATATAGAAATCTTAGTTTGCTACTACAATTTATTATACATCTGAGAGGACATAGTCATTTATTTATTATTTCTATTGGAATCTCTAAATAACAAACTTAACGTAAACATATAGAAATGTTATTCAACAATGGATGCGTAACATATGACTATCATTGTTTCTAAATTACAGTAAATGCTGCTTACCTTAATGATCTGCAAATTAACAAGCAATAAGTTTTAAGCAAAATTATGGAATTAACATTTTTTTTTCGGAATGTAAATAAATAAATAAATTATTTAAAATTATTTAAAATTTTAAATTGTAAATAAATAAATAAATTATTTATTTACAATTTAAAACTATAAATACAGTCAATTTTAATGGTAAATGATACAAAAGGCGGCTTTATCCCTAAACAATCTCTTTCAAACAATAACCTTTGGGTAGAGAAGTTGATTGTTGTATCTATTAAATATTTAATTTACATTTTTCATAAATTATCCATAAAAACGGTAAACGTCCGATGGACTTATTTAAGCTTTTAAAGAATTATGTCTTTCTTTGCGCTAAATTTTTCATTTGCAAGAAACTGACAAAACATTAAAATAGTTTTAATTTTTTTTTATAAAACAATTATTTATTAAAAACAAGACAATACATAGAAATACAAATGTTTTTTCGCTTTATCTGGGTTATCAACTGGTCTGTCAACAAGTCAATAGAAACTTAGGGTAGATCATTATTATTTATATTCGGCGACAGAACTCTCCATCGAACGTCGTCCTAACTTCGAGAATATTTGATCATTTGATTGACTTGTTTTCACGAGAATTGGATCACTGTATATACCTATACAGTTCGTATATAAACGACATGTCATCTATGGAAACCGATATATTATAATGTACCGTGAACGTATGATGACTTTTATCAAATCAAAACTGTAAACTATTAAGCAGTTTTATTTCAATTTATTAGGTATTTATGTTTTAATAGCAATCCAGCCAGGCAAAATATTGTGATATACTGCGCCGACTCCAAATAAATGGAAAAAGGCAAGGCAATGATGATGTCTTAAACAGCTAATAAGAGAACAAAAACTACGAGTCCCATTGCTAGCAATATGCCCTATCAGGGCGACCTCCACGTGGTTCCCCATGGAAACCATCATGCTGATTTCCAAGTATATTCATCACGATGGGCTAAGTGACCTGCTTTTTCATTCTCACCTATTATTCCTCACTGGTGCCTCGCCTGCGTATACCGTTAGCGAAGGCGGGGTTATCATGCCATCATCATCATGCGGTAGTTCGCATTACTAACAATCCCTTTCCCCCTTTGCCGCCTGGTCAGTGCGGTGATAGAAAGTTAACATTCTATAATAAATCCGTACCCAATAGTGGAGTGTTAATGGATTGTGAATAGGGTATAAGAACCCATTGCCAGCCCAAACCCAGTTTCCAATAGAAACTATCGTGGTTTATTATTGTTGAATTTTTTACGATGGATCAACTGACCTGCTTTCATCCTTATTCTTATCATATCTTAGTGATATCCTAACAGCGTACCGATAGCGCAGGCGAAGTAACCATTCCATTTTTACTCATTAAAAAAATACTATCATCCAATAATTACCTCATCAAAAACCTTCAATGAATAAGTGTTATCATCATCCATGAAGTAGACAACACCCCTTTTATCTTCAGACTGTTTTAAATGTTTCCTGAGCCAATCTAGTGCCAAATTCCGTTGTTCCACGCCGCTTGCCTGCAAATACAGCATACGTTTGACATACATTTCATAATTTATTGATTTCCACAAAAAAAAAAATCAACAAAATTTTTTCGTAAATAAAAATACTTTCAGAATTATCAAAGACATCACGTAATTAAGACTGCAACATTAGTTATTTATTTTGATTAAAACAACTGTAAAAATCACATCTAATTTGCTATAGTAATTTTTGCACAATGCCGGAACAAACATATTGATAGAACAGACAAATGTGACATGAAAATATGAGGTAACTTTAAAATGATTAAAATTTATTTTAATGTTAACCAATTTCATGATGTAAAGAAGTATTGGATAAAAACACCGATTTAGCTTCCCCCCCTCCTCCACCTGTTACCAAAAAGATAATTACAAACTAATTCGTTAGAATTTATATATTATATCTAATCTATTTATAAAATAACAATAAAATACCAGATAAAGCAAAATTAAAGTATTTTCGGATTAGTATTTGAAATGTAACTTTTACAGACATATAATACCTATACTATATACTATTATATAACATATTACTCTCGAAGTTATTAGGTTATTAATCATTAAAGTTATTAGTTTGCTTTCTTTGGTAGATGAGAGTTCCAAAGCTGCAATTGTTAATTCAAGTTGATATTTACAGGTTAATACAAACTATCTAAACATATATAATATATAGAAAAAAATACAAATCATTAGATAATCATTAATTTTTTTTTATTTAAAATAAATGCATTCATATTAAAGTAAAAACTTCTGTAATCTATGCCCCCATAAATATACTATTATTAAAACATATGTAATTCTATTTTATTAAATAAAATAGCATAAATAGAAAAATATATTGATGCATGAAAACCATTTTTACAAAAAAACGAATTACTATTATTAGTGACCATTATTTGTCTTGTAAAAAATTCAACAATTATATAATTAATACCTAGTATAATAATGTTAGTTTCAATATTTAATAATTTATTAAACTTAAGCATTTTTCACTCTCATTTAATACTGATTTATTTACATACACAATACCAACTAGTGTTGAATGTGTCCGTCTTAAAGAGACAAATATTGATATCCATTACCTGAAATATTTTATTCAATAATTATTAACATCAAGGTGTGCCAATAGGTTTGATAAGATTTGATAGGCTTGTATGAAAAAATCTATAAATATTGCAAAAATACAAATGTCCATTTGAATCTGAGTATTGTATTGTTCTTATTTACCACTAGAAATAAGTAAGTATTGTATATGTGGTTATGTCCATAGTTTAAACCTATGTAGAGGTGAAGAAATTCATTTTTATTAATGGAACTTAACTCATATACTTAATTTAATGTAGAGATTACATCACATAATGCAGAGATTCCCAAAGTTTGCTTAATCATTATTCCTGAATATTAAAAAAACGATTATAATATATAGTTTTATTGGTTTATGGTTTCACCTGAATTTTAATATTTAATTGTACAATAAATATATAATATGAAGAGTACTAGAAAGAGCCTTCGGCACTTGTTTTTTTTGCATATATAATTAAGATCTAAGGGTTAAATATTCACTTATCAGGAATCAAAATTTGTATATATACTAATTTTATAGGGTTACAAAAAATTAATACTATTGATTAATGTATAATGTAACCTTATGTAACCCCGATGCAAAGGTAGATAAATACATACTTTAATGTTTAAATATTATTTAAAACATTTAAGAACATCAGATACAGCCATAATAACAAAAGATTTGTATTACAGGCTTGATCCAGCTTATATTCCTCTCCAGTCAAAATTGAATATTTACTACCCTTTATAATAAATAATCATGTTAACATGCAGAAATTTTGCCTCTGTGGGCAATTTCCAAGCCAGCACCCCTAAATCAAGTTTTTGCTTCTGTTTCTTTGGTGTTCATGAACATGTTGATAAAATTTCATTAAATTTGTAATTATTGAAATTAAAATCAAGACTCACTGTGGAATGTTTTGAACTATTTGTTTTCACATTGAGATGTGTATATTTGAGTGTGGATTCCTTGAGAAAGTTCTCAACTAATTTTGTCTTCTTTTCTGAATCCTCAATAACAATCCAATGAAAATTCTTCACAAGCATCAAAGTCTGTGATAACCTGCCAATAAAAAATATTTTATTTACTTATTTAACACTTTATTGCACCAACATTACAGGATTTGTTGAACAATTTTCAATAAGTATAGTGTAGTACAAAAGATGGTCTTATTGCTAAGCAATCTCTTCCAGACAACCTTTGGTTTTTAGTTTTTTTTATCAAGCACTATTAAGTTTCTATTAAACCTTGTTCTCGCAAACCATAAATGTAAAATACTGAAGATCATATTTTACCTACAACCTACCTTAAGCCTCAGTTTGTTTCCTATGTGAGTCCAACCCTCACTGCAGGATATATACTCATGAGAGATTAAAGTTTAATGAAAGAATAGTTTTAGATTAGAAAAAAAATTGTAATCATATTTTTGGACCACATACACAATATTTTACAGTTAAGTTAACCCAAATTTTAACTCTTCTTTAGATAATGGTAGAAATATCCATCATAACCTTGAATGTCCAAAAATTATATAAAAGACCAAGTTCACTTTAAGTTGATTTTGTCTGGATACTTTTTTAATGTTCATTGTAGAAAAAAAAACATAGCTATCAAATTTATTTTTTTAAACATTTTTCCTTTAATTTTGAACATGAATATAACACCATATCACCTTGATTTATTTTACCAATAAAAAAATCATGCAAAGAAAGGTTAATAATTTTAAACTCAAATTGGTCTTAGATAAACTACAATAAAAAGTAACCTAAATCCTTATCCATTCAAATATTACTTATACATCCAATTTTATAAAAGTTAGTTAAATTTTATATTATTAAAGATATAATCTTACTTCATTATTTATTATATAAATAACACACATTTTACTTTTTATTTAATTAAATATTGATTAAATATAAATTATGTATATAATCTTAGATTTGAATTAAATTTGAACACAAATCCCAGTTTAAAATATCTAGTATATATATTAAATAATTATAACTATCAAAATGTTTAAATAATTTTGAAAATATTGCCAAATGTATTTTATTATAAAATAATGTACATATTTTTGAAAATGGTAGGTAAGCAATCAATTCAATATAGCTAAAATAGCCAATTTGAATAAAATTTGATGGTCAGTAGATACCCTTATAAATTGTCTACATTCTAGTATATTTTCATATTAATTATTTCAAGGGAGCTGCTGATAATATCTACTTTAATATAACTCATATGTACAAGATGCCAAAGATATTGCCAAGAGTAGAATGCCAAATTTACGAAGTCATAAAAATATTTGATGTACCCAAGGGCAAGAACATCACGATTATAGAACTTACCTAGTGAGATCAGCTTTCTGGGCTAGCCTTGCATACGTTGGTGTAATACCATATATTGTTGGAAGATATGTGGTAACTTCAGGAGTTATTTGACATTGGAATGCAGGTTTACTGTTGAAGAAAAACAGCACGACGAAAAGCAACATCCCAATTGCTATATATTGCTTTTTGATGTTAACAAAAGACATTTTATTGTCACAAAACACTTAAACAGCGATTGATTTTCGTCTCGGACAACGAGCGTCTCGATTCAATTTATGCGGCAAATTGATAACATTATGATTTTTTTTTTATACAAATTACAATAAAAATGTACACGACAATGCTATGAATACAGAATACTGATGGAATGGAATGCGAATAGAATAATATGAAAATTGGAATGAAATTGTAAATTGAACAGGTTGACGCACCGGACGGAGTCACATCGACAGTCGATTTGACAATGACATTGACAAATTTGACTTTGACAATTTGACATCACAAACATACTAGTGCCAAGCCTGCTATGAATTGACAATTTTATTACTTTTTTATTCCTTGTTCTTAGCTAGTGTCGTTGTTTCCTAATTGTTTTTTGTCTATGATTATGACTGTCGACAGTTGATTAACAGTAAAAAAGTGGCGTGAACTATAAAAATAATAAAAAAACGGAGCGGTAATTCAATGCCATCTAGTGTATAATCAATGTATTAAATGTTACAATTTTTCTCCGTATCAGTTATATTCTATGCAGAATCCTGCAGATGTCTCCCAAAGTAAGTACCTTATACCCCATAACAGAAGCTTTGTCATAAAATAATATAAGGACTCAACATTTCTATTCAAATAGTCATGAATACTATAGTACTGCTATTACTTGGTAAGTTGGAGAAATGTATATTGTGGGGTTCGGTAGAAAAATTAAATCGTTATCAAGTTCTTGAAATAGATTTTTTTAAATAAATAGAACAATGTTTCATAATAACTATATTAGAGTTTATTATTATCTGTGAAGAGAACCATTGAAAATATAATACTGCCATTTGGAATAATACTAGAAAGATAATCTACATCAAATTAATACTTTTTTTTTAATTTCGAGCAAATAGATCTACAAATAATTTAGAACCTTTCATATCAAATTACTTAGCTTGGTATTTACACACCTTATGTTATTATGTAGGAGGTTAAAATTTTTACAAAATTTCTTAATAAATTAAAAGAATATTAGGCGACCCTTTTATTTTGCAAAGACATTCTAAAAAGGCTTAAGTGTTTTTCCTGTAAAACATGTTTTTGAGAAAACATTGAATATGGAAACTATTTTGATTGCTTGCACCACATTCTATGCACTGGTATCTAATAAACCCATGGGATGATTCTCATATTTAGGATATAATAGACAATAGAAAATTCCATAAAATGACCGCCGACCTTCATTAACGGAGAGTCAAAACAAGACATCCCTTCTGACCCGAGGTTTCAATAGAACGGCGAAATATAACAAATCGAAGAGCAAATTGTTTTGAAACTCGAGAACTCGAAACAATACTAATTATGACTAGTTTAATTATCTGTACGCAACAGACGTGTTAGATATATATTACTCTCAATAATACTCGGTGTGCTTATTAGAGTGAAGCAATACTTAACGCTAGATCAACGACTAATGCTCTATAAATCGCATATCCGACCCCACATGGAGTATTGCTATCACTTATGGGCGAAAGCACCTAAATACCAACTTGAACCTTTGACTCAGTGCAACGACGAGCTATGAGAATTGTCAATGATCCTAGGTTCACAAACAGTATCGAACCCTTAAGTCTTAGTAGGTATTTTGCCTTACTCTGCGTTTTTTTTTATACAACTTAGAATGGCAAAGCTGACGGCCTACCTGATGAAAAGTGGTAACCGTCGCCTATAGACATGAGTACCATGGACATAACAGAGTATACTGTTTCGCCCATGATAACCCCCATGCGTTGCCATTCCCTGAAGACTCAGGTGTTATTCCTCTGTACCCAGTAAATTCACGCCATATCCCACCCTTCAAACCGAAACACAACCATGCAAACAAAACTGTTTCACGGTTGAAACACGAATGGGACAGAGGTACCCAAGCAATCGACTTATGTACAAAGTCTCCCTCTGGTGTTCTACCGGTGTTGACTAGGCAAGAATTCTATATAGCATTAAGTCCGTCAAATATTTTTTTTGTAATGTGGTCAATGGAAAATAAATAAATAAAATAAAAGAGATAATTATTACAACTTAATACTTATCATCTCATTAGTGCCTCAATAATATAAATATATTAGTACAAGATGATGTATCATCGGATCATTCCACAATAACGATACCTTTATCCACTAAAAAACATAAGTAGAAAGTTTTTTCTTATTTTTCTCGATGTAACACGCATCCGCGGGCATCAAACTATAATTGCTCATGTTTACCGTACCGTCCACGTTTATAGCATAAGAATAAAAAATATTGACATCGATTCGTAAGGCGGCATTTCCTAAACCCATTAGTAAAATTGAAACATGATAATTCGTTAAAAAAATTATGTTCTGTCCACTGAGTAGTTCTGACTCATTGCTATTGTCAATTTAATTCATACTAATCCTTATAATAACGATTGGGCTTAACATTAAATGAAAATGTGTATAAATCATATATATATATGTGTGTGTGTGTAAATCAGACCTACAAAAGTTATTTTCTTTATAATAATTTCGTCATCCACTCTCATTATGTAATCATATAAGCTTTTAACTGCCCACTGCTGAATATAAGCCGGGTTTGCCAGTAGTTGCCACGATTGGCAGGACGGATTGGCAACTACAGTTAGGCTTTGGAAATGTTTTAAGAGGGACGCTGCTGACCATCCCTCGTTTTCTCTTAGTCGCGTCTTATAACATCCACGGGAATGGAAAGGTTGGCTTATTCTATACTGAGACCACAGTAAGAATCTACTTTACTCTTCATTTATTACAATTTTCTTAAAATTTACCGCGATTTAAAAACGATCGAAAACTCCTCACTACCCTCGATGTATGCAATTTCATAGCAATTAATGCGTACAAAATGTTCGTAAAACATTATTAGTGTAATAAATATCACAGATCTCAACTACACTTTGGAAAACACTGGTCTATCGGATTGACCTTCTAAGAGTTTCTCTATTTACCTGCCAGCGTCTACAAGTAATTAATTTAAAATTTAATTTATTCATAACCATTTTTCCTGTCCCCATTTCATTTTCATTACGAAAACGAACGGAGTAAGTGATGTTTGGGAGGGAAGGTTTGTAGATACCCTCGCCAATACCTTTTGACCAATAAGGGTTTTGGGTTCGACATAGATTAGATAAAAATATATCTCTAAAACATTTATCGTCTTAACAACCCATATTTTATATTTTATCGTAGTACGGTACGACGATATTTTATCGTCGAGATATAATGTAGAATAAATGTATGAAGAATCTTTTATTTTTAGTTTAGAGTTCTTAAATTTTTATTTTTTTTAAATTGTCGTCGACAACTTGATGCCGAGCACGTACAAAAAAAAAATAAAGAGAGCGCGCTGACAGGTCCGTCGGACAACGCTTGACAGGGGTTCCAAGATCGAATCCCAGCTCAAAGCTCTTATAAAAAGAAACTAAGTGATGACACATTGCATTTCTACTGCATTTCTAAGACCAAGGAATTACAAAGAAGGAATGATAAAATAAAAACTGTAAATCATTTGGTTGCCTCTTTTCTTCTTATGCAAATACAATTAGTAAAAAGAGGACGAAAGAGACACCATTAGTTGTTATTTTTTTCCAATTCAATGCAGGCTAGTGTATAGAAAATGTGTATGTAAAATTTTTGTTCATTAATATTACTAAATTATATATTCGATACAGTTTAGAGAGTATGCAAGCAGAATGTATCTGAATTTGGTAGGGTTATACGGCCGTATAACATTTTATATACACTAACCTGCTATGAATTGAGAAAAATAGCAACCGATGGTGTATCTATCGTCCTCTTTTTATTAAATATATTTGCATAAGAAGAAAGGAGGCAATCATATGATTTAGAGTTTTTATTTTATCATTCCTTCTATGTAATTCCTTGTTCTTATGTATTTTCTATATTTTCTAAAGTTCACTATTTTTCCATTCTGTGTTGCAAGCATGAATTACAATGTTTTGGTAATCGTATTCTCACTCACAATGACGAATCGCGTAAGTCTATGTTCGGTCTATTATATAAAACTAACTACACTGGCTTGGCTGGAAGAGATCTCTTTTAGAGATAAGCTCTCCCTTGCTAACAAGTTGTTAAACTAACCGCTGTATCTATTGTTCAAGTGCAATAAAGAATATATATAAATGCTACATAATAATAATAGAGTTGGGTTATTTTTCGCAAAGCGATTGTACAGACATGGATCGTTATGTTTTCTAATTAACTTAATAGTTCTATTATAGAATTTAATTATTAAATTCTAATCTAGTTAGAGAACATAACTGAAGTAGATTTTTCTTCATAAAAGGCTCAAAAGTTCCACGCTTGGTGAATAGGCTGGCAACCGCAGTTAGGCTTTTGGTGATGTTTTAAGGATGCCGCTGTCCATCCTTCAAACATTAAGTTCCCTTAGTCGGTTTTTACAACACCCACTGGAAAGGAAGGAGTGGCCTATTCTATACCGGGACCACGTGGCACAATTTTATTATATTAGTAAGATTATATGGAACGGTTAGTATTTTATATCACTTGCATGTTTTTGCTAATATGTACGCGTGGATTTCAGCTAAGAATGGATTTCAACCAATGAAATAGACTATTTCTGCATAGCGTATCATAATAAAACATTCATCAGTTTTTAGTTAGACCTTTAGGGACATAATTCTTAAAACCACGTTCATTTTAGAGTAGTAGTTTTTGTTTGATGCCGGAGCAAACGTACAGGTATACATACAGACAGACAATTTTTTCTTACATTATTGTTTAGGAAGCCAAAATAATAATTGTAAAAATTGCTCTTTTTAAGACTTCTTAAATTTTCTCAAATATCTCCTATATACAAACATTGTCCAGTTATAAATTTATTATATTAATAAGGTTCTATGTTGCAAATTAAAAAACAAAACAAACTCAATTTACTTCTGGATGCTTACCCTATAATTTAATATAGTAAAAATATACATGCATCATAATTCCAATCCATGGTATTAGGTTCACCCTTTCATGGTCAAAAGGTCAAACGCGATACTCAAATTAACGTGCCCTTAGTATTGACCTGCAAATATTGGCTCAACACAAATAGCTTTTGATAATTACACTTGAATTATTATAACGAGTGGATATAGATAATGGATGTTAATTCGTTTATAGCCGTTATGTCGAACGAAACGTTCGTTCGCT